TCTGTTAATTTCAGGAAGCCAACATTTATTAAATAAACATTTTTGGTCAAAATCTGAACATCCTCTGCATTAAATCTGAGATTTTAAGATTAATAAAAATTTGGCATCCCGAAATTCATTTATTTATTTAAAATAAAAATATTTGTTTACAATACAATTAAATAAAATAAAATGTACATGATAAAAGCTTCAATAATTTAAAAAAGGTGTAAACCGAAATCTTAATTGATGTTAAGACTAGTCAAAATTTTCTTTAAAAATTGTAACTAATAAAAATGATAATGTTTCCATCTAAGTTTTCTTAAAAATGCATAGATTTATTTAGAATTTTCACAAGAAAAACTTATTATTTTACAATAATAATTATATGGATAAATAAACTATAAATATAAACTATTAGTTAAAATTTTATCAATTTAAAAGAATAATAATAATAATTACCAAAAAATGAGGTTTTGCTTCATCTGGTAATGATACAGCATGTATAACAATAGTGACATTAAAATTATTAGTAACATTTAATTGTCTTGCATATGTTATATTATTAATACTATGCTGACCAACATAAANATATAAAATATATATAAAAATGCAACAAATGAATATATAAGTATTAATAAATGCAATTACTAAGACATTCAATAAAACTACTATATTGATTGGTTAGAGCCCTTATCAAACTCCTTAACCATAAACTTCCATGCAGAGGGAAGACTTTCTGCGTCCCTCGCATTTAGACAGCCTTCTTGTAATCTACTCCTATAAATCTGCAACTTTTCCGCTGTCAACGCCAAAGATGGAGAAGATAAAGGATTTATGATGGTCGCCTCATTCCATTTGACTATAGCTCAAATAAATTATATTTCTCGGCAAGAATAAGGTGTTAAGTATATGTATACTGTATGTATATTTTTTATCCTAACAATTTTTACTATACATATTTATGTACTTCTTTAATGATATGCATAACACTTCCAATTACAAAAATAATAGTAATAAATTCTTATGGTAAATATTTTCATGCTCTGATATTAGATTGAAAATATATTGAAATGGATAGGTTTAACAATGACATCAAGTTGTAGGAATATATATATAGTAGGTAAAACAAACCTAATGAGTAAATATTGTGTATTAGCAGTATGCATGTTTTCTTGAAAAAAAAAAAAAGTTGTGAAAAGTAAAATTATTTCTCATATTTACTTTTACTATTTGGTGCTATTGTTTATTATTTAGTACATTCATAGTAGTATTTTATCTTCACATAATGCAGCTGTTTGTTTTAGAAACAGCTGAATTTAGCTTAGTAAATCAAAATCTGTTGTAGGTAGTTGGATAATTTGGATTATGTAATGTTCCCTCCTAGGATGGAAGTTTACTTGGTTTAAAAAGATAGATGAAGTTGTTGTAATTACTACATCCAACAGGAATTTCATTTGATTAATCTCTAGTATTAACTGGTAATTGTAAAAATTTACTTCCCAAATTTGGCAAGAGCTGTTATATATATATAACAGCTCTTGCCAAATTTGATTGTCATGGGTATGATTTTTATGTATTAAAACTAAAAACAACTGTAAAAGATGTGTTTTATAAAATTGAAAATAAATAAATAAATAAATCTTTAATCTAAAAAGTATTTAATTTATGTATATAATGTTAAACAATTATACCTGTTATGTTATGTTGATGACTTTTCTTTCAGTTCATTAAGTCATTCTCTTCTTTTAGCTAATAAAAAGTCATCTACAGGAAAAGTAAATATACTTAGCTAAAAGAAGATAATGACTTAATGAACTGAAAGAAAAGCAAATACATAACATAACAGGTATAATTGTTTAACATTATATACATAAATTAAAGACTTTTTAGATTAAAGATTTATTTATTTATTTATTTTCAATTTTATAAAGCACATCTTTTACAGTTGTTTTTAGTTTTAATACATAAAAATCATACCCATGATAATCAAATTTTTACAACAAGATTCATAACTTCACATATGCTTCAAACCAAATAAACTTCAGTTCTAAATGAAAATCTTATTTAGTCCAATTTACCTACAACAGATTTCAACTTACTAATTCAGGTATTTCTAAAACAGAAAATACTAAATTATGTGAAGATAAAATATAATATGAGCGTAATATATAATAAATTGCCTCATATAGTAAAAATATGAGAAATCATTTATATTTCACAACTTTTTGCCATTTTTTCAAGAAAACATGTATACTGTTAACACACCATATTGGCTCATTAGTTTTATTTTCATCCATTATATCCAGGCATATACAACTTGACACCATTATTAAAGCTATCCATTATGGGATATATTACCTTTCTCATATAATCATCAAAATGACCAATGATTCAACAAATTATTTTTATACATGTGATTTATATTTCTACTTTTTATGATTTATGCAGGGAATAAGAGAGAGAAGTTTTCAATATACAGTGGAATCAAAATGACAATGTCTGTTTTACCTCACACAACTGAGCGCATCTGACAAAATTTAGAAAAGAAAAATAAAATACAAATATTGTGTGCACCTAACAGAAAATAGGCACAAAAAACCACTTCTCCATGTCAGGAAGAGCAAGGATAGTCTCTATGTATCTGGCCAGTGCAAAAATTACATCTCCATGGCTAGCAGCTACAAGGATCACCTTTCCTGTGGCCAGAAGTAAAAGCAGAGTAGGTATGGAAAGGCAAGGGCAGAGGGAGTATGTGTCCAGGGCATCTAGATGATGAGGTGTCTCAATTCCAAAATTGTTACATGGGCAAACTAATAAATTCATAGAAAACTGTTGTACACAAGTATGAAAAATTATATTATGAAATATAATATGCATTGTAATAAAGTAATTTTATAATTTTTAAATTTGTATTAGACTAATGAAAGACTTATCCAAATGGTGCCATATTTAAGTTTTCCCCTGGTACCAAAGGCCTTAGCCACATATATGGGTACAAGGATAAACTCTTTTGTGGCAGCAAGTGCAAAGTTTGTCTGTCTGTGACTGTTGGGTACAAAGTGACTCTTCTTCTTTAAGACTCTTCTTTGCCAAATAAGTGCAAGGATTGCTTCTTTCTTTCCAACTCCATCTCAATTCTATCACAATACGACAAAGTTGCACAATATCCTAGTTTAATCTTTGCAATATTACAAGTTAAAATAAACTAAAATTTAGCTAGAAAGTAATGTTCCAAAAATTCATTCTTTGAAAGTCAACTGCATTAATTTAACACTGTTACATAAAATTTAAACACTTTTTAATTATATAATATTTCTCTATAAAAGTTATTTTTAAAAAAGTAACTTTTAATAAAAATTTTATAATAATGATGATGATAAAAATATAAGAATTAGTAATAAGTGACTCATGTTTAAATAGAAGTCAGAATTAACTGTAACAGTGGTTCCAATATTACTGTATGAAATTAATGACAACTGTAATGTTATTTTATCAAAAGCATTATAACAACAAATTGTTCCAATATGCTTTTAGAATAAATCTTTTACTGATTTTGCACTCGTTTTCAAATGCATATTGTCAAATTCTTGTCTATTAATCAACTACAAATGGCAATGAAATCATCATTGCTATCATGACGGAAGAAACAGAAGCCGCAGAGAAAAAATGTCATTAATAATCAAATCACTGCATCAAACATTCCAAAAAATTTGACATTTCTTTAAACTGTTGTATTAATTTTATAAATTGTTTATTTTTTGGGAAACATCATTCTCTTAATTTGGCAACTAGTTTAGAAACATTCAATATTGTTCAGTAAACTGTTGATTTTGATAATTCATTTGTGTTTTCCACAAAGTTTCCAAAAGTTTCTTTAGCATAATACCAAAAATAAATTAACAGATCATAAAATGATCAACATGGATGACTATGACATGATCTACGGCATTACAAATTTCATTCAATAACTTAATAACAAAATATATTAGCCAATAACAATCAAAATTTTTTGTCATTGCATTCAGATAAAAAAATTGTTTCTGTTTTACAATTATTTTTCTAATCAGTGATTGATAATCCAAACAATTAGAAATATTAAATTAATGAAATCAGAGACTAGTGCAGGAAGAATTCTGAAATGGAAAATTAATGAAATCAGAGACTAGTGCAGGAAGAATTCTGAAATGGAAAATTCATTAATAATATAGTAGTATTAGTAAATCAAAAATTAACAATGATATTCTTACTGATAATGAAATTTGGCTGACTTAATCAAAGTAAAATCAAATACTTAATGTTTATCTGAGAAAGCAATCACCACTGATAATATTAAAAATATAACCTTATGTAATTAATCTGTTTATAAATTTGACCAGAGAAAAAAAATTATACTAGAAATAAACTAAATGACTTGTAGATTTTGAAAAATACATTAAAAAGCAGATTGATTTCTGAGCAATATATTACTAAATAAATTTTTAAAAATTAAAATGATTATAGATGGAAAAAAACAAAAATCTTTTTGAAGCACTTTAATAATTTCCTTGTTAAATAAATAATTCCATATCAAGTTATTCACTGTACTCAATTAATATGGTATCTCTTTGCAAATTCCCAAACATTAAGACTCAACTTTGCAAATGATTTGTATTTTTTTGAATTATTAAATTACTGTATATCTATCAAGAATTATGAAGAATATATAACAAGATTAATCTGAATGTATTGAGAAGTAGATAAAAAATGCATAGATAATAAATAAGAAATATTTTTTAAAAACTTATATCTCTTGTAAAATGATATTTAAACAATCAAAATAACCGGCATATATTTCAAAACATATTAAAATTTTTCACTTCTGGATTTAAAATTTTAAAAGCATTCAAGAAAAATTTCATCTAAAACAATTTATATATTGAAGTATTCAAACTTAATTATTATAATATTTAAATATTCAAACTTAAAAATATCAGCTATAAAATTTTAATAATTTTTTACAAGTTCATGTAATAAATAAATTATAAAATAGAAATTTGTTTATCTGGCACTCAATAATCTGGAAGGTCCAGTAATATAGCACTCTAAAAAGTAACTGATAATATAAGATTTTCCAACAACACAGTAATCTGTCACACTAATATTCCATAAATCAGAATATGTATGACACATGTTATGATGAAGACCCAGGACAATAATGTGTTCATTAATGTTTTTGCAGGTTTTTTTTTAAATCAATGTTACACACAGAATAGTGATGACCAATATCATTTCAAACTGATTAAAGAGCACAAACAAACAAATTGGAAGTCTACAGTAGCCTGCACTGGTAAAAAATATACAGCAATGTATGCAATGTTCAGATTGCATATAACCTATCTTTGCAAAAATATAAAAAATGCCAAGTAATCCAGAATTTTCAACAATCCGGCACCATTCTGGTCAGTGTGTGCCAAATTAACAAACTTCTACTAAACTTTATTATTTTAAGATTACTTACCCTCTTAAGAGAGTTACTTGATAAGGAATTGTTAATTTAAACTGATTATTTTTAGATTTAATAACTATTTTTCCTGAACACTGTTTAGGATGTAAGGCTCTTGATGCTATAAATTTAAAAAATCATAGCTTTAAGATTTGAGAATTGTTTATGTCAAAAAAATTATTGTTACATATATTAAAATAAATATAAAAATTACTTTTTAATAAAATCTCATAAGAGATCAATAATAGATAAATCTCATAAAATAAAATCTCATAAGAGATAAATCATCATATACAATTTTAACCTTAAGTTAATGTCCTAGATTTTTAAAACTAAAATATTTTTAAAAATAGTTTTGCTAAGTTATGATAAATTTCTCTATTTCTTTTAAGTTTTTGTTATTAAATTTTATATTGTAGTGTAACTGAAAATTATCAGACTTTCTTCCTGATCCTCTTAATCTTCTATTCAAGTGCCAAGAAAGTCAAGAAAGAGCCCCACCAGCTTTTTAATCACTATGTATTTTATTTGTATCTTAATTACTTTGACTTTTGACATTCACAAATAATAAAGATTATTTATAAATCTAATGTTTAAAGTTCAATAAAGATTATCTTATTATACAATGCATTTGTTCCTAAGTGATTATTATACAATTTCACAAAATCACATTTAAATGAAATTTTTATAAAATATTTGTTACTAAACAATCATTTTTCACATTGAAAATAAATAATGCAATTGAAATGAAACATGCAAATGTTTCTAATTAAAATTCATAAACAAATATACTTACGAAAAAATGTTATTGTTGCTACTTGAGTACTCCAAATAGTATCTGGTGGTATCTTAACAGGATTAAATTTAACTTCTACAGCTTCATTTACAGGTGTAACAATAACATTCTATAAATTTATTAAATTATTAGCAATAAACTTTATTAGAATCAAATATGCAGTAGATTCAAAATATTCCAGGACTGTTTTTTAAACAAATGAGACTAAAGTCTTACTTACAAGTTCTGGCTGGCATGTTCAATGAACATCTCCACTTTATTCTAAAAATGGAATCATCCAACAAGTAATCCTATAATGTGTGTGTCAAATGCCAGGAAAATGTAGTTTTCATGTATTCATCAAAGTGAAAAGATGTAGCATACTGAGCAATGAACTAAAGTTAAATTCTGTCAAACTTTAGGTAAATCTACTACTGAAACCTTATAAATAATACAAAAAGTTATAGGGAGAATGTGCTTTCTCAATCAAAAGTGTTTGAGCAGTTCCAAGAAAAGTGAGAATCATTTACAAATGATTATCAAGCTGAACAACCAACATCATCTCAAAATGAGGAGAATGTGAAATGTGTGTGGGGAAATTGAGGTACAAATTCGTGTCAAATAGATAAACAGAGAGCAGAGAAAGTTGGAATTTCAATGAGAAGTTGCCATCCAATCCTAACAGATGATTTGAACATGCACAATGTATCTTAACACATTGTTTCTTGAAACTTTAAGAAGGAACAGTGATCAGCAATTAACAACTGTCAACAGTGACCTCAGTGATGCAGTTAATAAGAGCCTGATGTTTTTGCAAAAAATCATCACTGGAGATGAAATGTGGTGATTTCTTTATGATCCTCAAACAAAAGATTAATTGTCCACATGGTAGTCTCCATCTCTGAGAATCAAAATGTTATGATTGGACGACTCAAAGTAATGATGGAGGTATATTTTGACTGAAAAGATCTTTCATTACAAGTTCTTTCTGCAAGGTGCCATGGTCAATAAGGAGCACTATCTGCAAGTGATGCAGCATTTAACAGAAGCAATTTGCATTAAGAACTCAGAACATTGGACAGCTAAGGACTGGGTACTCCTTCACAACAATGCTCAGACACACAGTTCACTTCTTGTTCAAAATTATCTGACTACAATTGGCGAAATTTGCCTGTCCATATATATTGAAATTTATATAATTTATTAAAGATTATACCTTAACAGAGTTGTAATGTTTCCATGATAAAGATGCGATAAAGGTGCTATAGAACAAATTGAGGAAAGAAAGGAACATTTTTGGAACCTAAATATGTTCTGAACAAGCATTGGCATAAGCATTGGCATAAGCATATTGGCAGAAGCACATAGTATTTCCAGGTGGCTGTGTTTTTAAATGAATATTTTCATATCAATACATTTAGCAATACAGTACCAATTCTGGAACTTTCTGAATGTACCACATGTATGTATTTTATATATATGCACCATTTAAATTATAAATTTATATATATATGTATATGTGTGAATTTAAGCATCAATAAAAGTGCTTATTTCTGGAAACTAATGCAAAAACTAATAGAGATATTTTAATTTTTACATTAGAACATCTGCAGCTAATTCGAATATAAAAAAAAGACTATGTCAGATTGAATATAGTTAAAAATTTTACATTAACATATAATTTGATAAATTCAAAAGTAAAAAAATATAAACACTACAAAAAAATAAAATAAGTAAAAAAGCCTAATAAACATAAAATCAGTTCATACCAATTTTATTCATAGTGACTATATATGGAGAAAAAGTGTCTAAAAGGTCTTACAAATACCCCATTCATATACCAGACATGCAGGAAAGATACACAAAAGGTTAAGGTTTACTATTACATATAGCTAGTTTCTGATAAAACTGAAAAGAAGCATGTGTCTAGAACAGTATCCCCATCTGGATGCACCCCATCACCTTTTATCAAATTATATATGTTAATATAAAATTTTTAACTGTATACAATCTGATAAAGTTGGATAATAGTCTTTATTATATTCAAATTAGCTGCAGATGTTCTGAAGTAAGAATTAAAACATTTCTAATAAGTTTTTGTATTTGTTTCCAGAAATAAGCACTTTTATTGACTAAGAATAATGGTAACAAGTTTAATATGCATAGATATAAATACATAATTATTATATATAAATTTAACATTATAACTCTTCCTAACAAAGCTATAATTAATACTTATGTAATGTGCTTAAACTAGTCAATTCAAAGAATATATTTTTAATTTTAATAAAATGTAAAATACAGTTTTTCTTTAGTCATATCCAAAACATCAAATCAATTATAAAAACTTTAAATAATTTATACAGAAAAATATATATATATATTAATAATAGTCTGTTATATAAATTTAGACTAAAAATAAAAAATATAGTTTTTAAAAAAGTTTTGATTATCTTTTAACAATTTTAAAAAATGTTAATTTTTATTTCAACTTACAACTATATGAATATGTTTCTGCCCAGAATTTAATAAAGATAAAGTAAGAGTTTTTGGTTCATCATGACTTCTTAAAACACCAAATTCTAAAATTTCTGATGGAGAATATATACCAGGAACTGTAAATAAAAATAACATATATATAACAAGTTAGTATTTATTCATGTAATTTTTTAAAAAAAATGAATGCACTAAAAATAAATTCTTATATTTAAAAACACATATTTCAAAAAAATTATTTTCAAATGTTAAATGTATTTATATTTATTTGTATATAAACATAATTTAGCTTAAAGTTATCTTGCATATAATAATTTATGTTTTTACACTATTTGTTTATCTTCATACATAACTGTTTTATAATAATAATAACTATCTATTAACAGAACAAACAATATTTATTGAACAATTGAATATGATAAACTTTAAAATGAATGATATGATTCATTCATTTTCTTAATACAGTCGACCCCCCTATAACGTATGTTCCTATAACGACAATTCCTATAACGTAGCGAAAAAATTGTATCAACTTTCGTATAAAGTACCTCCTATAGCGTCGTTTCACGACAAGATTGATAGAGTCTGGACCAATAGTGGATGAGCAGCCGAACTACTTTCCTCCGACCCTGCGCCACGCTACGGAGCGGCTAAATTGAGTTTGCTATCGTCTGTTTAGTATTATATATAAATTATATATAAATTAGGTACTGNATATTTTTATCAGATGACGCGACAAGATATGCAGGTGATAAGCGCTTAAAAAGTGTACATAATTGTCGAACGGATTGAAATCTAATAGTTAATTGATTAATTATTAAATCCAAACATTTTTTTATAAATGTTTTTTTCGCCGTTTCCGACTTGGCGCCCTCATGATTCGCGCGCCAGGAGCAGTTTGTTTCAACTGCTCCATGATAGCTACGCCTCTGATCAAGACCCAAGACGATGACATAGTGTACAGTTCGGTCGGCACTCGGAGACACCACTGCCGCCGACCGAACGCTTTCGATACGCCACTAGTAAAATCGTTATAAATGTTTAATTTGCATAAATTTGAACTTTTGTTATTCTTGATACCATTTTGAATGCAATTGTATTATTACAAGAATAAAATTAAGCGATAAAAGTAAAATAGCGCTATGTAAAACCCTCGTGAACTTTGGCCTAGCGACCTCTTTTCATTTCTTTTCCGGAAGTTTCGCCAGCACCAATCGACCCAAACTATGGTGAAACCCCTTTATTGCGACCGAGAAAAAGCTCTCTTTTAGAGAGAGTTTTACTGCATATAATTATATATATATATGTATATTAACTCTCTGCATAATATGCCTGGAAAGAAATCTGGTTTTAAGCTCTAATTTCAATAAATGATGTAAAATGTCCGTCTATTAATTGTTATAATTTTGCACCGATTAGAAAATATTCGATAAATAAATAAAATATAACAAATTAATATAAAATAAAGACAAAGACAATTGGTCTTAAGCAATTATATGGGCTATTTTATTTTAGATTTATTTTTTCAAATAATTTTCAAAAATGTTTTAAATCGAACAAACAAGAGATTAAAAATTTCTCTTAGAAATTTGTTGTTAGAAAAAAATCCATTAACAAATTACGTATCTTTCACGGCTGCTCTGAGAGTTTATTTAAAAAGCTACTTTTATATTAATCACAATAAATAAATAAAACTGTGTGTGACACCATCTGTTAGAAAAAAATCCATTAACAAATTACGTATCTTTCACGGCTGCTCTGAGAGTTTATTTAAAAAGCTACTTTTCAATATATCACAATAAATAAATAAAACTTAAGATATATGTATATTGAATTAAATAACACAAGTAATCCAACAATAGAAAAAATTTAATAAACAAACAAATATTTTCCACCATTTTCAATGGTTGTTATCAGGTTGTAGAATTGAATATTGAACATGGAACATTACAGATGATTTTAAAATGTTAGAATTTGGTAACATTGTGTACATGCAGCTGGACACAAACAGAGGAATAGCACAAAACTCCAAAAAATAAAATAAAAACTGAAGACTTTGAATATAGCTTTCTATGCATGTGAAATGGAATACATATCCTTATATGTTTTATACAGCATAACCTTTTACTTATATATTGTAATTTGTAATAAGTATGTATTTGTATTTTAGTTGACTGAAGAGGAGCAAGAGTAGCCCGAAACGTGTACAAACATTAAATACACGTATCAACTAAATAAAAATTAATGAGGAGATTTGCCTTGTGTCCGAGTGAATACACTATATAGTTGGTGTTCAAGTTGCAAAACATGTCTTTATAGTTAATGGTGGTATCCCTTTTTGTAGTTTTATAAATCTCTAACCTTTCTAAATACATGAGATAGACTGTATTGGAAAATCAATGCAGAAAACAGGTCCTGTTGAGTAAAATATTGATGCAATTATTGCAGATGAAGGCTGTGCAAGCAGTTCATAAGCCTTTTTTAAATGGTATTACCATGTTCCTTAACTTGTTTGCTTAAAGATCTGGATGTCACTCCAATGTACTCATAACAGCAGTTTACTCTATTGTCTTGGATAGGATGGAATATATATCTGAAAGGAACCACTCCTCACTAGAATCTTTGACCTGTCTCAGCAGTGAAATAAAAAACATTGGACTTCTTTTAAATGTGATGTTGACATTGGAAATACAAGCTATTTCCTTATAGTTAAAAATGTTGTATAGAGCCTTGTTATATGTAACAGCCTTATACAATCTATCTACATTTACAACGGGATCAACCAGTGAGAGGTAACATTGAATAAGGTCTTCAATAAGTTTTGGAGAGTTGCTATGCAATGTGGTTAGGTGATAGATGTGCTGTAGCTCTTGTTTCCTGAGATAAGTTCTTAAGCAATAAGTAAATGACCTTTTTATCAAAGCTTTGAAAGCAGCTATTTTCTACAAGTAAGGGTCATGAGACAATAATGTACAATGGCTTGTAGAAATGCTTACAGTAGACACCTATTGTAAGACAGCTGTTATGTAGAGTGATCAGATTATCCAGGAAGTGGGCTTGGTTGGAACTTTTCTTCTGTGTGTGTAAACAGAGGCCTTGAAATGTTATTGATGGTGGCTAGGAATTCCTGCAGTTGGTGTTTCTGGCACCAGATAATGAGAATGTCATCTATGTCTTGCATAAAGGATGATTTGATCCTCAAACATAAGAAGGATGCTCTGTTATTTTTTTGTATTTTTATGCAATGCTTGCATCTGTCTACACATGCATGACATTACCAAGTTCCATCACTTTTAATCATCTATAATATTCTATGTTCAATATTTAATTCTACAATCTGATGGTGACCATTCAAAACAATAAAAAACATTTGTTTATTAAATTTCTTCAGAATCATGTACTACTCTATGCATGTATTCTGTATTTATGTATGTGTTATAATATATATTCTGATATTAGATCTTAAATGTTTCAGTACTCAATATACTGATAGAGAACTATAATCCTTCATAGAGTAAAGCCTATTCAGAATAAAGATTACTGACACCAACTAAACAAAATTTCCAGTTAAAATAAAAACATTTATTAAATTTATTAAATATAAATATATTTATTTAGTAAAATTATTGTACTAAAAACCTAAGATATGAACACACCCACATATCCAAGATCAAATACACAGTTTGAAATCAGTCATGTGTTTGAAAATTCTTATGCAGTTTCATATTTAATTCACATCTATACTAATTTATATATTCTATAATTCTAAAATGAATTTCTAAATTCACATAACAATAACAAAGTTTTTGCTTCTTAAAATATAGTTTGATAAAACAATCTCTTAATTTTAAATACTTGAATATAATACCAGATTTAAAATTAATATGCATAAGAAAAGCAATCTTTTCAAATACAAAACTATAAAATAATTTTTGAAAGATCAATAATTTTTATTATTATTTTTAATTTATATCAATAAAATTCACTTTGAATAACTTTCTTATTAATTACTAATTCCATATTTATCATTAAGATTCAAAAAATACTAAATAAATTAAAGAAGTCAAAGATTAATTGAAATGAAACATTTTATGAAACCAAAATGTATAATCACCATCCAATTGAATCTTATTAGAAGGCATTTCAGCTTCACAGATGTATTCTTCCAATTAATCTTTGTCATCCTTAATCTATTTAGTGTGTTTTTGCATTATTTCAAAATGTAAAAACCAAATAGGTCTAAATAATATATATTTTAATTCTGTATATTTTAAAAGTAATGATAAACATTTATAATATTTAAACAGAATTATTTCATAATTATAAAATGTAAAAATCATTAAGTAGTTTATATAAATGCTCAAATGGCTTCAAATGCAAGTAAAGAGCATAAATAAATACTAAGAAATCATCTATAGCCTTTTTTCTTAGCTTGGAAATTGTTATTATTTAAATATCTTAGTAGCTAAGGGACATTTTATTATATTAAATATTCAGAAAATCCATTTATTGTGCTCTTAAAATACAACAACAACAACTAAACCAAATTTCTAAGTATGTATTTTCATTTAAGTGTACTTCCTGTTCTTATTAATTAATTAAAAATAAATAAAATAATATCTTGAAAAAATAATCATAAAATTTTTGTCGTCTTTAATCTAAACATCTAAATAAATTTTTTAAAATCAAGTATACTAAAAAGTTAATTTAAAAAAAAAAATTATTATTCCTTAAATTTATTCAAGTAGAAAAAATACACTTGAATTATTTAAAATTATCAAAATATATTCTAAAATAAAATACCTGATGTCACTTCTACTTCAACAGGTAAAACTAGATAATCACGATTAGTACTATTAGTTTTTATTCGAATATAAGCTGTATGATTTCTTTCTATCCTTGCTACAAAATTTGCTCTCATAACAGATTTTGTTTCATAAGGTGGTATTTCCTGAAAAAATAAAAATAAGCATGTAACAGTAAATATCAGTTTCAAAATATTTTAAAGAAATAATTTAATTTTTTTTAAATTTGTAGTTTTATGTATAAAAAAATTGTACATAGAATTACAAATTAATAATAAAGCATTTATCACAATAAATTTACAAAACCATTTAAATGATTTATCACCTTATAAAATAATACATTACTATGTAAGAAATATACAAGCTTTCCCTGCTTAATGTTTATAATCCATTCCTGAAAATCAGATGTTCTGTAAAAAAAACATTAACAAACAGTCTATTTCCCATTATTTTAAATGGAAAAAATTATAATGCATTAGTCATAATATCAATCAAAGCTTCCCAAGTAATTTCTGAAAAAAACAACTAGAATATAACAGTGGTTGTATTGTGTTTTAGTTATGTTTATTATGTTCATATTATGTTTATTTATGTAAAATGAAATATGGTATAGTTTCTAACTTATATTTTTCTTGATTATAATGCACCATCAAATCTAATGCAAACTCAATTTTCAAGACATCAAAACCAAAAATAAGTTAATTATTAGTGATTTACTGTCCTTATTAATTTCTTATTATATATTTGTCAACGTGGACATTAATCATTAACAGGACAATTATACTGGTGTTAAGCATTTACACAAGAATTGAGGAAAAAGTTCTTAAAGAAAACAGTCTTTCTTTATTAAGCTATCTGTACACATACAATGATTAACATGTGTGTTTCGGGCTATCATGCCCCTCATCAGCAGGATTACAATGGTTATAATATTTAACTATAAAATAATAAATAGATAATTAAGNAGAATTGAGGAAAAAGTTCTTAAAGAAAACAGTCTTTCTTTATTAAGCTATCTGTACACATACAATGATTAACATGTGTGTTTCGGGCTATCATGCCCCTCATCAGCAGGATTACAATGGTTATAATATTTAACTATAAAATAATAAATAGATAATTAAGAAAAATAAATTTGAATTAATGGATGAAAAAGAAGTTGTTTATTCGTTTAATTGCTGTTGTGATCCTAATTAAACTTATATAGGGGAGACCAAGAGAAAATTAGGAATTAGAATAAAATAGCATATATGTGCCATAAGAGGTATTTATGCAAATTCTGCAGTGGCTGAACATTGTAATAATTATAGTTGTCAGATAAAATTAGATACAGTAAAAATAAAGAAAAAAGAACCAAATAATTATAAAAGGCAGTTATATGAACACATAAATATCAAAAATGAAAAAAATAAGAATAAATCATAATTTAGGCAGGATAATCCACCAATCATGGGCCACCATCTTAGATAACGAATGAGTATAAATATCTTGGTCAGTTCAACATGCGCCAGTATTGTGTAATTTTGATAAAACATGTAAAGGTAAAAACATTTTTTAAAGGAATTTAGTAGTTTTACAAAAGGTTTTTAGTTCTGATGTAATAATTTTTAATTTTTTAATTTTAAAATAGGAATATGAAGCAAAATAAAATTAAAAACCGATTATTGTCGGTAATTGGATGCCTGTATATTATAAGTTTTTTGTAAATAAGTTGTCGGTAAATTAATTTTATTTTTTTATTTTTCTTAATTATCTATTTATTATTTTATAGTTAAATATTATAACCATTGTAATCCTGCTGACGGGGGCATGATAGCCTGAAACACAGATGTTAATCTGTGTTTCAGGCTATCATGTACAGGTAGCTTAGTAAAGAAAGTCTGTTTTCTTTAAGAACTTTTTCCCCAATTCTTGTGTAAATGCTTAACACCAGTATAATTTTCCTGTTAATGATTAATGTCCACGTTGACAAATATATAACAAAAACAAGTTAGTTTGTAAATGTAATGCTCACTCTATTAATTTGAAAATGCAGCCACAGGAAGTAAATGTATGCAAGGTGCATTTTGAAAAACAGAGTACAAGACAACTGGGCAGTAGTCAAGTGGGTGACAGTTAACTGGGCAAGCTCATTTGGGCAACAGATACTTAAAATTTTTTGCATGTTTAGAAAGTATATGATTGTGTAGATATTGTTTGTTTATTTTTTCGTAAATATTGGTAAAATATTTATAAATATAAATATGGTTAAGCCTTATGAAGTATGAGTTATAAGTTATAAACTATGAGTTATGAATTATTTCCAACTTAAGAAAAGGAAATGTTTCAAACATCTTACTGTAGCATTATTAATTATTTTATGTCAGAAGACATTAACAAATCACATCAAAGAAAAGCAGTTCTTCGAAAACAAATTCTTTCAAAGAGCTGCTTTTTTTTTATGTGATTTATTGACTGTTTCTAATTCTTTTGAAGAACTTGCAAATCAATTTAACATATGTATGTATAAGGGCAAATCATTTTCAAAAATAAAATTTAAAATAAAAATTTTGTTTTGATTTCATGTCTTTTTTTTTGTTTTAATGTTTGTTTGAGCGCACATAAATATGTTTGTTAATTACAAAATTGTTCTTTTAACTCATTTCTCAAAAAAAAAATGTTATTTAAATTTACCAGGATCATTAGAAAAGAATGATGATTTTAATATAGAGAACAAAAAAATTTTGTATTTTGTCACCCAGATGTCCAGATGTCAGCAGTATCCCAGTTGACCATCACCCAGTTGATGGTGTCCTTAAAAAACATTCTATTCTCCTGTTTGCAGGGCCTGATGATGTTCACATTTTTAAATATATTCACTTATGACTGTATTATCAGGTACACAGGATCTGTTGACTAACACAAAATCAATTAAAGTTATCATACAATCAACAGTTTAACAGATTTCATATCAGTATGACCCAGCATTAAATTTTCCAGAATTTTCCAAAATTTTTCAGAAATTTTCCAAATTTTGCAGATATCACAATGAAATATCTGCAATAATTTTTTTTATAATCTTCAGCAATAATTTAAAAAAATTATTGCTGAAGATATAATTTTTTATAATCTTCAGCAATAATTTTTTTATATTCTTCAGCAGTATATCTCTGCTTAAACTTAGTTTCGTAAGAAACCCACTGCTGGATATCATTCACTGGGCTTGCTGTAGTTCAAAAAACCACTAAAACCAAAACAAAATAAAAGCAAAGGAGAGGGAGAAACATGTATCAAGAGATCTGTTTATAATGTAATACAAATAAATTGCCAAGAGGTATGATGAATAAAGTAAATTAGATTGCCAGTTACACTACCTGAACTTCTGATTGATCCCTCACTTTCAGACATATTTAATTTAGATATGACCATACTAGTTACCCATGGTGCTGACTGGGGAGAACTCAGCAACCACAGCCTACAATCACTCACTACTAAAGTATTTAAGTAAATAATTAGTAAATGAGATTGCATTAAATCAACTTTTTGTCCAATTTTAATGAAGACTCCAACTTTAAAGACCAGAAAAGTTTGAAAAAGATGCACATTAAAATTGAGAAAACACAATAAGTTACAAACTATAATATTAAGATATAAAATGCTTATTATATAATTTTCTGATCACCATGTCTTAATATAGATGTTAGCAAACAATTGCTTTGTATACAATAATGTGTAAAATGCATGCTGTATGAAAAACATTATGTTTACAATAAGGCACAGAAAATAACATATAGCAATAAAGAAATTAGTTTTAAAAAATGCAACAAAGTTACAATAAAAAAGGAATAAATCACAACATATTCTTCACAATACAGGTAGTTCCTATCTTTACAAATTAATTGATTCCTAGAAGTTACTCATAAAATGGGGGCTTGTAAAGCAGAAGCTAATTTTTCATACAAATAAATAAATAATGCATACAGGATTTTAGATAGAGAAGTGTTGAAAAGAAGTAATACAATAAACAAACAATAATAAAAATATTTGTCAACAAAATGTATATTAAATTTATATTATAATAAAATTATATTATATTTATTAACATTAATTTTTTCTTTTAAAAGAAAATAAAATTACTTCTTTAAATGTTTTTGTCCAAATGATCACTTTTTTTCTGTAGACTGACTAGATACAGTAGTAGTGCCTCTGTCAAGAAAATTCTCAAGTGTTGTTAGTTTATATGCCAATTTTTTCTCATTATATATTTCTTGATAACAGGCAATGGCATTTTCTAAAATCTCGCAATTTGAAACTTACTACTATGTTGAAAGTTTGTCTTGAGATTCAAAGGTCTGCATAACGTTTTCCAGATTTCTAAAAGCTTTATTTATATTTATATTATACATTAAGTATTGTATTGAAAGTACAAAAATAATAAAAACAAACATACATAAGCTGCAAACTAACAACAATACAGTATGTGCTCTTAACAATGACTCATTAAAATAGCCATTCACTAGCTCATACCTACGACAATGTTTCATTAATACCATCTCCCCCAATGCAGTAATGAGTAAGATCGTAAAACAGTAAAGTAGGAGCTAACTGTATTTGTAATGAATTCTGTAATTGAATGATTACTGTTAGTGACATCATAAAAGCATGTTTAGACTTTCTGCTATAGATACAATGTTATGATGTCTTTTCCAGTTGATATGTTTGAGACGCATATTATATTTCAAGACACTTGAAGTACTTTTCAAAATTTTCAAACTTTCTCAATTTTGTAAATCTTTGACCTTAGGCTTGCTATATCAGGTATACTTGTGATGGAAAATTCCATCACTATGAATAACATTACCAAGTAAATCTTGTCAATGCCACATTCAAGACATAATTTTGTAATAATTGTTAAGTTTGACTGACTGCCATTCAAGAATATCAATTACCACCAATGCTATGGTCAGCTTAAAATTAACTGAAAATGTAATATATTGTGCTATGATTTATCAAATGATAAGAAAAAATTATTTTTGCTTACCATTAAGTTTTTGTAAAAAATTACCGATTTTATCAAACATAGAAAAACAAACAATGCAATTTCATTTGTGAGATGTGCATTTCTATTGTATTCCCATATGAATTCAAACTTTTCTTAGAACAATACATTATAATTTTTTAATACAGTAGTCATCACTGAACTTAGACCAGGCCGCAGTTAACATGCCATCCAATCGATAGAACTTTATAATTATTGTAAAATCACATAAGTGATTATAAAGTCAGCGTGAAGTGATAAATAATTTTATTAATTCAGAGATTAGAAAATCACAAAAAATTGTTAATTAATGCTTATGTTCATGCAAATGAGAAATTCGTATACATTTCTCCATTTTTCCCCATGGATGATGTGTGTATTGATGAATGAAGAACAAACAATAAGCTTTTCTGGACAGTGCAAACTGGAAGTACAAGTTAAACTTTGTTTTCTTTTGTAAACTTGAATCTATTAACCAGTCTATGTACAATATAATATTTTTATTAATTAATTATTTAATATTTATTTATTATTAAAAAATTTTTATATAAGAAATTAATGATTACATATGTCAATGAATGCATATCTAATTACAAAATTGATAGAAAGGTAAAAATCTAGAACATTGATGTAGAGCAAGTGGTTTAAAATTTCTTTGCTCTTGTAAATGAAGTCAAGTGGCATTTAGTATAATGCATAACATTTGCTCTCTAAACAATGCAATTGCATCACATTGCAAGTGAACCACAGTCAACTAGTGCCAAATTCTTTTAATAGCAAGGTTGCGGCCAAAGTTTTCATCTCTAAAATGTGAACATCAAATGTCGAGTGCCACTTACAAGATAGTGGCACTTGACGTTCACATTTTAGAGATAAAACTTCGGCCATAACCTCGCTAATAACTCTATTCTATAAATTGAACAAAATTAAACCTGCCAATTTTAAGCTGGTCCAAAGTATCAGAAGTAATTTATTTTCTTGAAAATAAGTGAATTGACATTCAAAAATTATTGTAAATTTGAAAATTTAATGTAGTAGTCTAAGAAAAATTTGAATGCAGTGATTGAATATGTGTGTTCCACCAATAAAAAGTAGCTTGTACAGAATATATAGCAATCTGAAGACAGGAAATTTTATTAGATTTATTTAAATACACCAAACTGAAATTAGTTATTTTATTTTATAGACAGACTATTTTTAACTTCAAAACAAGTTTTTTTTCTTTTTGCAATAATAAACTTACCCATAGATGTTTTGGTGATTCTGAATCTCCTGCTGGAAGTTCCAAATGTAAGTCTCCTCCACTGGAATACATTTCTGTTAGCTAATAAAAATAGATTAATAATTTTATATTATAATTCTCAAAATATGATTAATTTCTATAAACAATAAAAATACAACGTAATCAGAGTCATTCAAAACTATAAAAAACATTTAACAATCCAGATTACACACATATCTGTTGAACTTGTATAATTTTTATTTTTTTGCCTGATGTTTTCAAATATAATGAATCATCATCAAGAAATCCAGTTCAAATTACATTTACTTCTAAGTTAGGGGTCCCCAAAGTGGTCAATAAGAGTTCTCCAGGGGTCAATTAATACCAAAGAGGATCAATTAAATTGTCTAGGAAAAAATAGAATAATCCAATAAAAATTCGAAATACGGATATGATCAACAACATTACTGACTACCCTAGTTATAACTTGAGTTTTGCCTTATCCTATGGGACTTTAAGCATGTATTACTCTGTTTTCACGCATCTGGCAACTGTACTAGTGTTGCAAACATGTTATGAATGCTGGTATTCATTATACACATACATACGTTGCACTGTTACACTCTAGTTGGGTTGTTACTCTAAGTATTTTATATCTAAATGTAGATATTTTGTCCTTTACAGAGAAAATATCGTAATATATCAAAATCATTAATATAGTACAGAAGCGTTTGCAAGAAAAAATGGAGCTATTTAAATCTTCACTGGCACGATCCGATTTTAAATATTTTTCAAACTTGCAAGTACTAAAAGAAAATGAAAAGGTTTCCGGCTGTGATTTGGAGATATATATTAAACATCTTGATAAATTAAGAGAAGACTTTAAAGCACGTTTCAAAGAATTAGAGAATATGCATGTTTCCGAATGGTTTGCTAATCCATTTGATGTAAAAATAGATAATGAAGGTAGTGAAACTGGCTTAAAAGATGAACTGAGTGAAATATGTGTAGATCTCGAAGCTAAAGCGTTATTTAAAAATAAACCTCAGTGAATTTGGGAGCAATAACAATATTGCCACTAAATATCCCAAGCTCAGAGCAGAAGCCGAACCTTTCTTACTTGCCTTCCCAACTTCATACATGGTTGAAGCTGGTTTTAGCCACGCAAATGCAATTTTGACAAAACAGAGGAACAGATTGAACTTGGAAAACTGTGGTGATTTGCGACTAAAACTTACCAATTTTCAACCAAANTCAGAGCAGAAGCCGAACCTTTCTTACTTGCCTTCCCAACTTCATACATGGTTGAAGCTGGTTTTAGCCACGCAAATGCAATTTTGACAAAACAGAGGAACAGATTGAACTTGGAAAACTGTGGTGATTTGCGACTAAAACTTACCAATTTTCAACCGAATATCAATAATCTTGCCGCTTCTCTTCAGAGACATCCATCCCACTAATATCAACTATTTTAATAAAAAGGTATGTCTACATATTTTTAAGGCATTCAGTAGTAGTCGCAAAATGAGAATAAGAGTTTTTTTCATCCAATATAACTAATGTTGTGTTTTCAAAGATAAGTGCGTATTTTACATATTATGACATGTATGGTTTAAGAACTATAGGCAAATTTCCATCTATCCATAATTTTGCTATTATTTTTTAAGATTATAAATCAGTGGAAAATATCTCCTTTTTCTGTTAATGTTATTGGGTGGATTTTATAAAATATGGGAACTATAAATTCTTTTGTTGGGTTATTATGCAGGTTTCCTTATCGCTTAACATTAGAAATGCAAAAATGATTTAATGTTTTTGTTAAATATTAATACTTAATCTGGGGATCGATAAGAAGGCAAATATTCTATAAAGGGATCGACGGGATAAAAAGTTTGGGGACCCCTATTCTAAGTTATACATATTCTATTAGACAGACCAAAAGATGAATCATAATAATCTAAAAATGTTAGATAATGTAAACAAATGTATATTATGCATGTGTGTTTCTATGTACAGTACAATACTGCATATCAAAATGCCACATTATCTACTCACTGGCCTCTCATTTGTTTTTTCGTTTTACTTTTGCTCTCATACAGGGCTTTAAAGCAGTCATGGCAGTGAAAAAAGAGAGTTCACACTGAAAATAAGCTAATAGTGTTAAAGTAAACTAAAAGAGGCATTATTAAAAAAATACACAAAAACACACACATTTTGTATCAATAACATTGCATATGATATTAGATTGATTTTTAATTGGACTGAAAAAATTAAATATGAAAATAGTTAGGCTGAGTTTATACTTCAGAAAAGTGACCAGTAAGACTGCATTAAGCCAGAACGGGCCTGCATTAAGTTTTCATGTGCCTCATACTGAGTTCCTACCGTTATACAGCAAAGGAAATGGAAGAGTAACATAACTACCAGAATGTGTCTCCATATAACATGTCAAATTTCAAATGCCATTTATTTCAAGGTACATTTTTCTTTATTTCTTTTTAAAAAAGTTTGTAATTAAAGATGATTTTCTTTTGTTTAAGTCATGCTGCAGTTTTTGCACTTCTCTTGTTTTCTCTTCTTCATCACACTGAATTTTCTTCACACCAGAGTAAGCAATTCACTATAAAGTTTATGTATTAAAGGATCACTGCACTGAAAATGCCCAGTAAACTTTGTGAATAGTTCAGCACTAGATATTCCCAGAGTTCAACTTTGATGATAGAACACTTCAATGAGTTTGAGATTATCTTATATGAAACACTATTCATTAAGTTGGAATTCTTGAGGAATGTGCTTTAGGAAGTATTAGTCCTTCCCATTGTTCAATCAGTCTTTTGCTGCAAGACTAAACATCAGTTATCTAGTTGATGAATACTTCATAAATTTGTTGCATGGCAAATTAAGTTTCTCTTGAATTTCTGTGTATTCATCAAAGCAACACCCAACAAAAAAGCTGTGTGTTGCTATGATGAGATCACCACCATCTCCATCCAACTCTTTCAGGCCTTTCAAAAAGGTATTGTGGATTGTATGAATGTTGCAAATTCGTATATTGATGAGGCCGTTTTTGCAAGTTGTCAGAATTTGCTCATTTGAGACAATACTTTTTTGTTTATGTTTGGTCCATTGCATCCAATCATCAGTAATTTATCAAAAGGTAGATATGCATCTTCAATTGCCAGTATTATTTTTGATTTAATTGTTTCGGCATCTGCATACCCGATAAATGAGGTCTGGAGATGCCTGCAGATAACTTCCTGTTGTTCCTCTGACCAATATCTAATCAGTATTTGCAGTTATTTTCTGTCTATTTTGCATGTCTCATCATAAGAAATACTATAATATGACCATTGTGCATCATCTACCATTTGATCAAAGAAATATGGGGCCAAAGCTTCAGTGATTAAGTATCTCATTTTTTGATGTGACAATGAGAATTCTTTTGGAAGATTGTCTGCACACTTGGCATTGATTGTCTCCTTTATATCATGACATGATGCAAATGAATAATTGCTGGCTATCATTTTCATAGTCCATATAAGCTCTGCAATGTAAACACCATCTTTTGCACTACAAAGTTGAAGCACTGATTGTTGTAATGATTGGTGTTCTGAACTGACACCTGAGTCTACAACATTACTCACACTAGCAACACTTTCAGTACTAATACTTTGACATTGAGACATCTGAGGGGCAGTCATCAGTCTTAACTGCTTAGGACCAAAGGCTTCATTGCATTTATTTATATGTTTCTTGCAGCTTGAACGTTGGAGAATTGCAGTATGGGGGTGTGCTGGTCACTATATTTCTCCTGAACATATTTACAAGAATAAAAAAATAAATTCCACATGGAAAGTGAAAAAAGCTAAAAAAGTAAGTTTGTCTCAGAAAAAGCTAAAAAAGAGAAGAGCTATGAAAAAAGCTTAAAAAGTGAAAAAAGTGAGTCACTTTAAGCCCTGCTCATACAATTCAGATTAGTATGACAGCTTCATTAAAGGTATGCTTATAGATCAAACTAGACTTGCGAGTAATTTACCAGGAAAACCTAACGTATCATAATCAATCCAATACAAATTGATCTTAATGTGAGGATTTAAGCTCTTTTGTGAATTTTAAATCTTCAATTAATTTTTCAATCATTATTTCCCTTCTTCCTCCAGTTTCCCCTTTCTGGGAGGTCATAACTAGACCTTTCGACCCTTCAGTTTTCTGTGTCACTTCGATAAGTGTCCTTTTAAACTTCCAAAGACATTTCAGATGATAGATAAGGTTCTCCCCTCGCTACCAGGAATAATTCATTTCCATCTTCATTACGATTTACAAAATAACTAGCCAATTAACAAGAACCTAAACTTATTACGCGATCAAGGGTAACAAAAAGGTCACCTACAAGTGAAGTCCAAACCGAACCAACCCACACACTTTCTATTTCATCCGATTTTATGACCATATAAGGAACAATTATTACTAAGGTTGCAAGACAAACACTGACCTTAATCACCTCCAGCAATTAATTCAGTTAGTTTGACAGCTGTTATCAAATTTACGAGGTAGAATGAGTAATCATAACGGATGAAAGATGTAAAAAATCTAAAGAAATGTTTCAATTTCTGACAATTAACATAAACAAAACCTGGACGCAAATCAAACTTAGACGAGATTGCATCAGAATTTCCCCCGATAGTTCCCCCTCTGGGACGTGTATAAAAAAGGGCTTGGACACAGTCCTCCAGGCAGACATCATCAGACCCATACCATCATTCTGACCGTCGCCATCTCGCCATAATTGCCCATGGTCAACTTTGCCAATCCAGGAACGTTTTTACGAATGGCCATACAACAGGATCAGGAACCCAGAGGTAGTATTTTCAATTATTTGTAAACTCTCTCTCTCAGGTCTCTCTCAGTTATAAGCTAGATTAAGGTTAGTTTAACTTAGAGGATACTGGGGACAGATAAAGGTCCAGAACTTAGATGGTCTACTGGCAAGAATAGATTAATCATTGTCATGACTTAAAATTATTTTTGATTATTTCCATTTTTGTAGCCATTCGTTTTGTACTCGCTTTGTATAACTTTATAGTTTATTAAATATGTTATTCTTATATCTAAATATGTGTCATCCTTGAGTACGAACGACACCTTGTCATGACCTCACTAACCCTCCTACTCATTTACCACATACACCATCCCAGACAAAGGAGCCGATAAGGAGGGACAAGCTTGGTGCTCTACCCCCTCAGTTTACATTAACACTTGCAGGAAATTTCTTTCCAAGTTCAGTTAAGTTCAAAGGATTGCACAAGGTGATGGAAAGTGGAAATTGAAATTATGAGAAGCAGAGCATTGATCATGGGATGAAAAAGACTGCCATGTATATGTCTATTAACTACACAGATCTCAGTCATTACATTATACCTTCTGTTTGGATTGGTGCAACATGATGACCAGTGTTGCCAAATTGGGCAGCATTTGAAACAAATAACAACTAAAATTTCCATGTTGGCAACATTTTGGGTGGCATTTCCATAGAGAAACTGAAATTAAATATAAATTACTCATAGAATATGTCTGAATTGGAGAGAAGAATTTAAAGAGAAACAGTTGCAACTGTCTTCAGTTAAATTTTGGACAAGAGTCTATACCAAAAGAAATGCTGGAGACAAGCAACCTTTCAGGAAATTGGAAAAATTTGTTTTCTAAGCTCTTTAATTGCCTGCAAATAATGCAAGAATAGAATAAAATGTACCCTTTGACTTGTCTTTGAAGTCATATGATATACAAGCTGTCTTTCTTTCCCCAATATGACAGCTCTGATTCAACCCAAGGATCAGGAAATTTTGGAATCAACTAAATGGTGATGTTGACATGCAATTCTCACCTCCCAGAAGGAATGTGAAAACAGTTCCACTAAGGCTATGATGAAGGCATGGAAAGCCATCAACATGTGTTGTTTTCCAAACAGAAAAGCATGAAACATGGCAGAAAGCACTACCATACTGAAGCATTGGAAAAAAAAGCATGGCTTTTGATTGATACCAAGTTGGGTTCAGCATTGAGTGACAATGATGAGACAATCAATTCAGAATCGTGAATTCCAGATAACAATCAGTGACATGTTCCACAAACTTTCAGAAGTTGATGAAGAGAATGTTACTACATGAGAAAAACTATAGACTATTAGATTAGGCTTTAACAGATGATAAAATAATCAAAAGTGTATAGGAATAAAAAGATGAAAATAAAGAGGAAGAAGACACTGCAAAGGCAAAGATAATGAAGATTTCTCACACTATTGTACCAAAGCTATAGACATCTGCAGTAAATAATGTTACAACAAGACATGAGCAGTACCAGCATAATGGTAGTAAAACAATTGTGTGACAGTGTGTTATTGATGAGCATGTTCATTAAAAACAATAAAAATTTATGGCATGTTTTGAAGTGACCACACTAAGTAAAAAAATGCAAATTTTATCTGTATAGTATTACATCTGTCTGTACATTTCTTTTACATATATACAGATATGCTTGTTTTATTAGTTTTAAAAACATTTAAAAACAGTATTTTTTGTAATTATAAATATATATATTTTAATAATACCTGTAATGTTAAACTGTGTGGATTATGCATACTAATTATTGGAGTATAACTGCTGTTTAATGGCATTCTTACTCCTAAAAATGGATGTAGCCGATATGGATTTGGTGATCCATTAGCTATAACCTGTAAAACAAAAATTTTTATTAAAATCATATTTATTTAATTAAACTTAATATTAATATGACTAACTACTAAAGATAGTGTGGTGTATTAGAATTTTTTAAAATAATTATATTTTGATTAGATATTTAATTGTTTACTTTTTGTCATATTTGAACGTTTTACTAAAGCTGAATTGTTCTGTATAATAATAAAAATTAGTATATTTCATATTTGGTATACAATAATAATAATAATAATAATAATAATGTTGTATACATACATAAATACATATATACATACATACAAACAAACAAACATACATGAAAGACATCGGCCATACACAAGGTATTTAGCCGACAGAAAAGAGGGTAAGGGAAAGGGGGAAGGAAGAGGGAGAAGAGATAGACAGCAGAGAAAGGTAGGATCACTCTGAATGGCAATAATGTTGTATACCAAATATGAAAATATTTTTCAAACTTCCAAATAAAAATAAAGTTTTATGAAATTTTGTTTATTATATGTGGAAATGAAATTGTTCACATGGAAATGTGAACAATTTCATTTCCACATATAATAAACAAAATTTCATAAAACTTTATTTTTAAAAATTTATAAAAATTATCATGATATTTTTTATTCTATGAAAATAATGTATAAATATCTCTTTTTACTGATTTCATTTCAATTATTTCATCTCTTTCTGTGTTGTGTTTTTGTCATAATTAGAAAATCATAGTATTTGATTCATATTATTTTGGATTTTTGAAAATAAACAATCATCCTTAATCACTGACAATACTAATCCAGGCTCATAAGCAGTTATTTTTACACATGTGTGAAGCAGCAATTTTTCACTATTTTTTACATTAATTATGCTGCACATAATTGCTGTTCTCAAAATTTGACAATTCTGAAAATTCTGTAATGTGTTCTCAGTATGTGCCAAATTTAATCACCATATGCTGTTTAGTTTTTTTTACAATATCTCAAACTTTGCAATAGCATAAACTAATGTGAAATGAGTTCAACTGAAAATAAATGACAGGAGAGCTGAGGTATTATAAGGGCCAGAAAATGGTTTTCCTGTATTTCTTGAGCACAAAATAAACTTGCAAAAATATTTAAAATTGTTGAAGGTCATAGCACCTCATGCTAGCTTATGAAGACAAACATTCAAGATCGCAGTGAGTTGCAGACTGTCATATCATTATGTCATGTGTAGATGGCAAACATCCCTGACATAATGCCTACTTCTTATAGCAATTATGTAAGACATCCATGACTTCTTGAATGACAGTCAGTAAAAATGAACACAAAAAAAATGCTGTGTTATGCATGTGATCATGTGATAATAACAAAGAAAACTAAGCATGACTATATGCACAAGGTGGATGATTTTCTACAGTAGTTTTTTCAGAACTATTTATATGGAAAAACTTTTTTCACCAAAATTTTTACAAGGTGGATATCATGCATCATGAGAATATCATGGAAGCACCTCTAACTAAGTCAATTTGGTAAAAAATGCATTTAAAAACTAGTACCACTATTGCATGTGATTGCAGGTTAATGAATTTACTTTACATTCTCTTTACATCAATTACCAAATTACATTTAAAATTGATATTACATGAAGTATCATATATCAATTTCACATAACACTGCTTGATTTTGTACAAATTAATAATGTTATATGGATATCCACTGTATTATGCATTTACATCATAGCAATAATAATAAAATGTAATAAAAATTATTTTTTACTTGTACTATTCTGAAATTGCATTAGTATTTTAACAAAGAGTTTATCCATAAGAAAGATAATTATAATAAAGATGTTTCCACAAAAAACTATTAAACAAATAACATTAAAAATAAAACTAAAATCATATACATCAAGGATGGGCAACCTTTTATGTGAGGGTCATATTTCAAAACTTTTGAACTGATGTGGACTGCATACAAGAGAAAAGAGGGAAAAAATGCTGGTAAATCACAATTATTTATTCATATATAATTATAAATTAGCATAGGTATGCTTAATTTAGCTTCTGAAACTGATGTAAACATAATATATCAGAAATATTTGGTTAAATACTAGTCACTGCTAGTTTTAAATTAGTTTCAATATGAATCTGTTAGCCAGTTTCTTGCTTTAATTTTTACTAAATTCATTGTGAGAAAAACTGTTCACATACATAAGTTGTAGAAAATAGCATTTAAATTTTTGCTGCATACTTCCTTAAGCTGGAAAATTAATATATTTATTCATATTGTATGCGATGTGGGCCGCAAAAAATATTAATGTGAGCCACATGCAGCCCTAGGGCCGTGGGTTGTCCATCCTTGATATACATCCTAAAAGTGAAAAGATACATACTTGATATTTAAAAGAACCTAAAGATGTATGAATAAATAAAGTATTTTCTACTGAACCTTCTTGTCTAGCAAGAAATACTACATCAAATGTTGTATTTCCTCCTGGAGGTATAACCTATAAATATGTTCATTAAAAAAATTAATATAAAATAATAATTATATTAAATTAAAAAGTTAATAGTTATATTTTAATGACATTTGTATCTTTCAATTTATTTTCATTGTACACACAAATAATTTTTTTATTTTTGAAAAAGAAGGAATATTAAACATTCTAAACTCTGCTTGATTACTGGATAAAGAACCTCTTAAAAAACTGAACAAGATTGACTGATTTATGTTATATATTAATTTAACTGCCAAATAGAGTAGATATTTCTGTGATATAACAACTTTAGAATATGGCTACAAAAAGTAAATTTACACTCCTAAACCTTAAAAGTCCAGTAGTAAATATTTAATAGCAAACAAATGTTTTCGACCGTCCTTTTGGTCTTCTTCAGGTTTAAAAAACCAGTGAGATTCGAACAAGTGAATGCGTAGAATAAAATTATGAAATAATTTTCAAAAAATAGAACAGCACAAACGTATTTTAAAAGAATAAACAGTTATGCATGTGCATTGCCATGGCGATGGAATGGTATATGTAATACATACACTGATATAAATACATATAAATACACCAAATGGGGGTGAGGTTTCTAACTGCTGGTGTGGGCGTTGCCCATTCCTTCATAGCAGTACTTCCAAGCATGTGATACATTGATGGCATCATTACAGTTAATGCAATTGATACATTAGAAACCTCACCCCCATTTGGTGTATTTATATGTATTTATATCAGTGTATGTATTACATATACCATTCCATCGCCATGGCAATGCACATGCATAACTGTTATTCTTTTAAAATACGTTTGTGCTGTTCTATTTTTTGAAAATTATTTCATAATTTTATTCTACGCATTCACTTGTTCGAATCTCACTGGTTTTTTAAACCTGAAGAAGACCAAAAGGACGGTCAAAAACGTTTGTTTGTTATTAAATATTTACTACTGGACTTTTAAGGTTTAGGAGTGTTAATTTATGTGCTTTCCAGTATTCATGTAAGAAGATTTTTAAATTTAAGTAAATTTACATTTTTTTTAATACAGAATACTGTTTAATAACAACTTGACTATAAAATTAATTAGCCAAAAAATCTGCTGGATTAAATTAGTTTGGTATTATAATATAACCATATTGTAATTAATAAAAAGTAATAAATGTATTGTTTAATTTATCATTATATATGATATACAATGATAAAATTTAATATAAAATTTCACACTTTTTGCAACATGAAATTTCAGGACTTTTTGAGAGTCACGTTCATGATTTTCCAGAATATATGGGAAAAATACAATCAAACTCTTATTTCTAATATTGATATAAAAAATGTTCTTTAGTACCTAATGCAATATCCAAATCAAATAATTCAGGAATTGTAATATGTCAAATGACTACTGGATTAAATTGGGCTACTTCTCTGCATTCTATTTTGAATTAATTTCTAAATAATTTGTCACTAGAAGCAGGCATTAGATGCCTTCTCTTATTAAATTTAATAATTATAATTAAATTAATATTTATAAATATTTTAGAATATTCTGGAAGAAAAGAATCGGCCTAGATTGGGACTTGAACCTGCAACTCCCGCTTACCATGCAGATGTGTTGCCACCAGTGCTTTCTCAGGTAGTGTAACTGGCAATGCATCTGCACAGTAAGTGGGAGTTGTGGATTCAAGTCCCACTCCAGGCCATTTCTTTTCCTTCAGAATATTCTAAATTATTTATAAATATTAATTTAATTATAATTATTAAATTTAATAAATTTAATAAGAGGTGTTTAACACCTGCCTCTAGTGACAAATTATTTAGAAATTGTTTAATAATCTGAAACTGTGTTGTTATTCTTTTCCATTATTAAAACACTATGTAGTGTAATTAATCAATCACTTGTCATTTTTTCATGTCAACTGAAAAAATGCCAATAACAACATTTCAACTGAATAAAAAATAGATGAAAAAATGCCAAGTGATCAATTAATTTTACTACATAATGTTTGAATAATGGTATTTAGAAATTAATTAAAAATAAAAGAAGAGAAGTAGCCCAATTTAATCCAGCAGTCATTTAGAATATTACTAATATATTGGGTTTTGAAATGTTTGTATATATATTGTACATGTTTTTGAAGCACATTAGTGAAAAATTGCACTAATGAAAGTTAGAAGTAAAAAGTAACTTCATTCCCAGTATCTACTTTTATTTTTTTCAGTGGTATTGTATCTGTCTATTGTGGTTTGCAATGTAGTGATTTTTATCAATGTACTGAAATTTTTATCACAAAATTTCAGTATATTTTATAATTATATTTCTTACCAGTTCATTACGGCAGGTTAAATTTGTTTATTTACATAGTAAATAAACAAATGCAACATTCTGTTTCCAATAGTAACATTTTAATATAACAACATATACTATATCATAATATTTTCATTGCTGTCAGCTGTACATTAAAGAAAATGCAGTTCATATACTATTTCTAATAGAAGATACTAAATAAACTTATTAAGTTAATGTTTACAAACATTGTTTAATGACCTGATTAAATATTTGTTAGTAGAATAATTGGAAATCACAAGTGCATATTTGAAAAGCTAGATTGTTCTACTTCCAGGATCAACACGTAGGGAGCCTGGCCAACAATCTAGCCGCTCAGAGGTGCACTTCTTGCAAATATTAGAGTAAAGGGGTCTGATATCCACATAACTGGAATTTACATTGTTTATCAACCAAAAATCTAACCAACCAAAAGTCTACTAATNAATTCTTTTCTTCCAGAATATTCTAAATTATTTATAAATATTAATTTAATTATAATTATTAAATTTAATAAATTTAATAAGAGGTGTTTAACACCTGCCTCTAGTGACAAATTATTTAGAAATTGTTTAATAATCTGAAACTGTGTTGTTATTCTTTTCCATTATTAAAACACTATGTAGTGTAATTAATCAATCACTTGTCATTTTTTCATGTCAACTGAAAAAATGCCAATAACAACATTTCAACTGAATAAAAAATAGATGAAAAAATGCCAAGTGATCAATTAATTTTACTACATAATGTTTGAATAATGGTATTTAGAAATTAATTAAAAATAAAAGAAGAGAAGTAGCCCAATTTAATCCAGCAGTCATTTAGAATATTACTAATATATTGGGTTTTGAAATGTTTGTATATATATTGTACATGTTTTTGAAGCACATTAGTGAAAAATTGCACTAATGAAAGTTAGAAGTAAAAAGTAACTTCATTCCCAGTATCTACTTTTATTTTTTTCAGTGGTATTGTATCTGTCTATTGTGGTTTGCAATGTAGTGATTTTTATCAATGTACTGAAATTTTTATCACAAAATTTCAGTATATTTTATAATTATATTTCTTACCAGTTCATTACGGCAGGTTAAATTTGTTTATTTACATAGTAAATAAACAAATGCAACATTCTGTTTCCAATAGTAACATTTTAATATAACAACATATACTATATCATAATATTTTCATTGCTGTCAGCTGTACATTAAAGAAAATGCAGTTCATATACTATTTCTAATAGAAGATACTAAATAAACTTATTAAGTTAATGTTTACAAACATTGTTTAATGACCTGATTAAATATTTGTTAGTAGAATAATTGGAAATCACAAGTGCATATTTGAAAAGCTAGATTGTTCTACTTCCAGGATCAACACGTAGGGAGCCTGGCCAACAATCTAGCCGCTCAGAGGTGCACTTCTTGCAAATATTAGAGTAAAGGGGTCTGATATCCACATAACTGGAATTTACATTGTTTATCAACCAAAAATCTAACCAACCAAAAGTCTACTAATAAAATGTTTTCAGTTTTACTAAAACTATTATCAGCTTTTCACTATATATATAAAACTGTATTTAAACAATAGTATATTACATAATACTAGGTAATATACCCTAGGTGGGGAACCTGCGGCCTCTGCGAGGTTCTTGTGCGGCCCTTTGCCACCTAGTACAAAAATGGTAGAGTTCGTTTCAAACAACTATTGTACATCAACGCCATGACAGTTGCACGAAAAATCCCGCCAAAGACAGTCATATTGTAACATGACGTCAGAATACTAGTCTGAAACGGACTCTAACACGCATGAGCGAGGCTCTGGCCCACAGACCATCCGTTTCAGACTTGGACACTCAATGTTAATTTTTTAAACAGTTTTTTAAAAAATGTTAATTTTTTAAAAAACTGTTTAAAAAGCGCTAGCAGCGCCAACTACCTTGTCTAAGAAGTAAACAAAACTCGGTTTCAGATCTCCCATTTGAGTGTCACACCTTGCTTTGGCTTCTCTGACTCGCATCTCTCAACGCTTCCCTGTTGCGATCTTCAGCAAACTGTAGTTAACAGTGAGTGCTTATAACAGTTACACGGTTTTATTGTATTTCTAGAAAGTATACACTTTGTTAAAGATATTATTTGATATTCGTTTTTTTATCCATCATGTCAAATAGTAAGAGAAGAAAATTAGGTGATGAAAACAGAACATTTAATGTAGAATGGGAGTTAGATTTTTTCTTTACTGCTGAGAAAGATAAAATGATGTGTTTGTTGTGCAATACAGTTTTAAATACTTTAAAAAAAGCGAATGCAAATAAACACTATTTGACTCATAAAGAACATAAATATTTCGCTTTAGAAGGTGAATCACGAAAAGCTGCACTTCAAAAGTTGAAAAATGAGAAGCATCATCAGCAGGCATCTTTTAGTGCCTTTGTAAATCAAAATTCCGCTGCAGTTGCTGTTACGTATAAAATAGCACATATACTTGGAAAAAGGGGCAAACCATTTAGTGACATTGAAATAATTAAAGAATGTATTGTTGAAGCAGTGAGTATGTTAGATCCAAGAAATGTCGACAAATACAAACAATTACCTCTTTCAAGAAGAACTGTAACAGATCGACAGCACGAATTAGCGCAAAATGTAACAGAGCAACTTCATACAATTATACAAAATGAAGATGTTTATTTTTCAATTGCTTTAGATGAAAGCACTGATAAAACAGATTCGGCACAAGTTTTATATTTTATTCGTGCTATAACTAAAGATTTTCAATGTTACGAAGAACTACTTGCGTTGGGTACACTAACTGGAAGAACTCGAGGAGCCGATATTTTCGAAAACTTCAAAGAAGTATGTAATAAATTACAATTGAATGTCAGTAATTTAGTCAGTGTCTGCACCGATGGCGCACCTTCCATGAGAGGCAAAAAAGAAGGATTCGTTGCTTTGTTAAAAAAGGAAAACTTAAACTTGAAAAAATTGATATCATTTCACTGCATTTTGCATCAGCAAAATCTTTGCGCAAAATCTACCATTTTGCAAGACACTCTGGATAGAACCATTGCCATTGTCAACTATATTCGCGTAAATGCAATGCGTCATCGTGAATTTCGGCAGATGCTCTCTTTAGATGAGGAAACGTATAGTGTTGACCTACCATACTACTGCAAGGTTCGCTGGCTATCAACAGGTCAGGTTTTGATAAAAGTTTTGTCTTTACGACGACAAATTTTAAACTTTTATCAAGAACAAGGAAAACAATGTGATCTATCAGATGAAGTATTTCTCAGAAACCTTGCATTTTTGTCTGATATGATGACAAAACAAAACAATTTAAATATTTGCCTGCAAGGTGAAACGAGGTATATTTATGAAATGTGGCAAAAGATCCAAGCGTTTAGAAAAAAATTATCATTTTTCAAAACATTGCTTTGTCGATCGGAAATATCTGCACAACACTTCCCGGAGCTAGCTAAAATGTTAAATGAGCAGAACTGTGAAAATAAAATATTCGATGAATATGTAGGTGTCTTGGATTGTTTAATAGAAGAGTATACTAATAGATTTTCTGATTTTGACGAGCACACTCCTGCTATGAAACTGGCATTTGAACCACATTTAATAGATATATCCGAGGCTCCTGCAGAACTACAAATGGAGTTAATTGATTTAGGGGAAGATAGTATCATCAAATCCCTTTTTAACGCTAAAAAGGATCCCATAGAAATCTGGAAAAATGCTGTTGAATATCCATGCCTTCGAGAACATGCTCGCCGTTTACTTTCCTGCTTCGGAAGTACCTACTGTTGCGAGACAACATTTTCTCTCATGTCAAAAATAAAAACAAATTTAAGAACGCAAATTACAGATGCACATTTAGAGGATCAATTAAAGCTGTGTGTTACGAAGCTTGATCCAAATATACAATTACTGTCAAACAAAAAACAAAGCCAAATAAGTCACTAACTTAGTGAATAAAAAAATATTTTTTATTGTATTTTTTTATATTTTTATATTACTTTATATGTATATTATATTTAAAATTTTGTAGTATTATATTTTTTTCTATATAATGCAATAAATTGTTAAATCTAGAGAAAAACTATAATAATTTCACAAAAGTCACTTTCTTAGGTCAATCAGCTTATGCGGCCTCTCTTATTGCTGCCTAATTTAAATGTGGCCTCTAATGGTAAAAAGGTTCCCCACCTCTGTAATATACTGTAAGTAGTGTTAAAAATTTTTTTATTAATTTATTTCAGTTTGTTTTGTATAAACTTTATTAAATATATTTTGTAACAAATCAATTTTTAAGTAATTAAATCTCCAATTTTTATATTTACATACAACTGAGAAAGTAAAATCATAATAGATATTATTAAGTATGAAGTAATATAGATTGTAAAATTAAGGAAAAGCAGCTCAATTAATAAATTATAAAGACATAATTAAAAATATGACTTCTAAACAAGATTGGCCAAGCTGATCTGATAGCATGCTCCACAAAAGTGAATCAAATATCAATTTTGTTTAAAACAAATTTTATAAATTCTTGGGATCAAGTAGTTGTTCAGAAGAATTTTTCACTGAATATACAGTAAGGGATGTGGTTTATAGATTCCAGAGAAACTGGGTAGTTTTTAACTATAGCTTACAGTGACCGTAAACAAAAATGTTCAGTTTCTTTATGCACATGAGTATGGACATGTGCAATGAATTGATTGAATGAAACATAACACTTAGGTATTGAAAATGAACAGTCATTGCACATGCATAATAAATGGATTAAACAGGGCATGCACGTGCACATGTACAATGAATGGATTGAAAGGATCATAATCTCAAATATATAATGTCTGACAGACACACAAAAGTCCTAACATAAAACACTTCACTACTATAGAGGAGCATGCTAAAAAACCTTTTATTTTTTGTAAATTATTTTATAAAAGTCTTATATTTGGTTTTTTTAGTATAATATATATTGTAAA